ATATAGATACAGTTGACTACTGTGGGCTGAAATTGGTCTCCACACTCCACCAAGAAGCTAATCTGGTATTTGGTGTCCCAAATCACACTACATAGTGTGTTAATACCACCAGGTGAGCATGGGTATTTGAGGTACACTCCAGGAGCTTAGAGGGTACCTCCCAGACCTGAGGACAAGACCATACGTTTGGTCAAGGTTCATCCTTCACTGCACACAAGACAAACCTTTTGAGAATATAATCTAGACCCTTCTACATGCTTAGGTTCTAATAGTGTCCCATAATACTAAACTAAAACCCCACTCCCTGTCCTAATCAGGGCCCATGTGGTCCAGTCCTTCCTTCCTCCTGTTGGCTGCTGTCTTCCAAACACACAGGTCTTCTCTGGTGTGTTTTAGGACCCCAAGCTCCTTTCTGGCCTTTGTGCTAACCTAACCGTTCTGCCTGAAATCTCCCAGATCCACATGTAATTGGATCTGTGCTGTCATTCAGGTCTCAACTTAATAAATGTCATTTCCTCAGAGGCCCCTCGCCTGTCTGCTCGAATTAAATGAGTCCCCAAGTCACTCCCTATCTTATCACCATATTATGAGCTCATCGCAGTAGTGAGATTTGTCTGTTATTTTCTAGTTCATTTGTCTCTTAATTTTGCGGTTAGAAGCCTCCCCCATGCAGGTGCTGTAAGAGTGGAAATGGTGACTTCTTCTCTGTCCTCCACACCTACGATACATAGACCTAGAGTGTGGGCTCAGTAGTCACTGAGTGAATGCATGAACAGCAGGATGATTAAGTAAGACTTACAAATGCCGATTCGTGGGAATGTAAGTCAAATTATTTACAGCAAGACATTTGGAGCCTTAAACATAATAACGTGAATTATAAGGCTCCCATGTATCTATACATCATACATTCATGTTCCCTGGAATGGTTATGAATTTTACATATACCCAACATCTTGAAAAAATGTTTGACTCTTCCTGCGCCTGCCCACCCCCTGGGACTGTCCCCCGCCGACTAGTCTAATAATTCGTCTGCACCCGGTGTGACTGTGCAGCACTGCCTTAGGATCTTCCTGTCCTTCTTGTACTTGTCTGTTACCCTGAATCTCCATCTTTAATAGGCTCACGGTACAGCAGTAGCTGGACGGCGAGATGTGGCTTTTCTGAGTGCGACCCTTTGGTACCCCTCGGGCTGCACCCTGGAAGTGCTCGCTTATGACTCGCCAGCCTAAGTTCTAACTGCTGGCCGGGTTCCGTGTGATGGAAACAGATATTGGCAGACACATCTAGTCTTTGCTAATGGTGGGTTTGAAGTGGCTTGCTGATTTTTTTCTCTTCTGAGTGGATGACTCCGTGGCCTAGGAAATTGTGTGAGGATCATCCCCAGACTCAACAACGACTCGACTTAATGATGTTTTGGCTTCACCGAGATGCGGAAAGCGACGCACACTCAGTAGAACCCTTACTTCACATTTTGGATGTTGTGCTTTCCTGGGTCAGTGATACACGGCAGGGAATCCCGTTTGGATGCTGATCTATGGCTGCAGGCTCCAGCTTCTAGATAGTGAGGAAGGTGACCCACACTCTGCCCTGCCCTGGGTAGCTGAGCTGGGAACGTTCAGTAGGTTGTGTGTGCATGCATGTGGTGGGGGTGGGATGCAATACATGTGTGTGCACAGGCATGTGGAAGCTGGGGACAGCCTGGAACGCCATCCTTCAGGAGTGCCATCCACCTGGTCTTTTGAGACAGGGCCTGTCATTGGCTTAGAGTTCACCCATTAGGCTAGACTGCCTGGTGAACGAGCCCTAGGGATCCGCTTGTCTCTGCCCTCTAGGGTTGTAAATGTACACCACGTCACTTTGCCTACACTATTGCTGCTGCTGCTGCTGCTGTTGTGGGTTCTAGGAATTGAACTCAGGTCTTCAGGCTTGCAAGCATGTTGCTGATTGAGCCCTCTCCCAGTCCCATTTTCAGCTTTTAATGTTTTCAGTTTTCAGTGAACTATTCTGGGTATGGCTCCTGTGTAAGCTGAGGAATGTCGGTATTCCTCTGTGAAGCTAACTCCAGCATTGATGACGATTACACGTATATTTCAGATCCTCAAGGTCCTGATCCTTTGCTAGAAATGAGGTCGATGGTTGTTTTACCATCACTGAAGCTCATAGGGGCAGATACTTACTCCAGGCAACATCTTACCTTGCCACGTAGTGCTCATGAACGATCAGAGTGGTTGTGATGACTCTGTGTGCTGCTGAAGTTGAAGGTCTGTCAGAGCTGGTTTGGACTAGCTTTCCCCTTGGCCCTAGAGCGTGCTGTAGCCTGTTTGCTCTGCTTTAGTGGGACCTGAACTCCAAAGCCTTACTGCTATGTGGTTCTCCCGTGTAGTGAAGTGTTAGTATGTCACAGTCTCTTTTTGACCAGAGTATTATCAACACACATACACACTGCAGCACACCAAACCTATGTGAATCATCCCACATTAATCTTGGAAGAAAAACCTGGGGGCTTCTCCCTCTGACCAGACAGCGTCAACCTGGCTGTGATGTCCAAGTGGACACTCTGTCCATAGACTTTACTCCCCAAACTGGCCACCTCCAGACTCTTCTAGCTAATTCTTAAAGACATTTAAAGTCCATGAAGGCATGGTTGCTTTGACATATACATTATCACCTCAAAAACTATTTACACCAAGATTTTACAGACAGATGCCTTGATAAATGTGTTTTTACTTGCTGTGAATAATTTCTGCCTAGTGCCATTGAGAAAAACATAATTCACATTTCCCATTAAGAAGACGGCAGCACTGGTGTGCAGAGAATTGTCAGTTACCTTGTGATTATTCTGGGGTTGATTTGGAGCAAATTAGGCTATTTTAACTCAGAAACTGTCTGTTTAACTTGAATAGTTAGAGCACTCTTTTCCACAGCCTGGTCTAATGTGAATGAGAGGCAAAACAGAAGCCAGTAGACAGCTCTCCAGCAGAGACCGTAGGGGGCACCCGGGTGTGCTCAAAGCCCCCTGGCTGGGCTCAGAGGACTGTGAGCTCCCGGGGTTCTTGGTGGAACTTTAGACAGCACCTCCTCCCTGCAGTCCTTTGCTGGGAGCTTGAATGGTTCTGGGAGTGGGAAGATGCTAGGGACGACCTGTGTCACTTGTTTCGAAGTGACGTGGGTGGGTCTTGCTCTCAAGTTAGCGGTGGCAAAGATAAGGATGCACCTGCATGATCTACAGTGAATGCCCTCTGCTCTCTCTCTCAAGGGGGCTTCTTGTCTGAGTCTTCTCCATTGCGCATGCCCTGATTTCTGGAATCTGCTGTGTCCTGCCTCATGCTGCTTCTAGAGAAACTAGTGCCAACCCTGTCATGTCCTCGATGGGCCCTTTGTAGAGTATCAGCTGCCAGCCACTGTGAAGTCCTCCCTTCCTACCTGTGCCAGGGCTCCCAGGGCTCGGGACCTCAGAGCTGGCAATTCCAAGCTGAAGCATCTTGATGAACAGCCACTTCGTGCATTCAGTAGACTCTGGGGAGCAGCTAAGAAGCCAAAGATCCCTTAGCACATTGGAGAATTTCTGGAGAAAGGTTCTGATAGGAAAAGCACTCCTCTTAGATTTTTGCCTTGTTTTCAAAAATATTAAGAATTCAGAAATTTGGAGTGTAACCCATCTCCAGGCCATGCATATAAACCTATGTGCATCTAAGATCAGAGCGTTTATCAGGGCTGGCAGCAAAGCCTTGAGATAGGACATCTACCCAGCAGTCTCGGTGTCCTGGCTTCTATCCCCAACACTAAAATAAAATAAACAAAAACAGAAACATTTAACAGAGAGCGATGGTAAAAACACACGCACAGTGGTCAGTATGACTGAAAGCGGCAACTCTGTGAGGTGCTCAGAGGTAGCATGAGCTGAGTGCCAGCTTGGCAGTGAGGAGCGCTGTGGTTTGTTTCTACGGTGAGTTGTGTGAGCAGATAGGACCAGAAGCAGACACTCCCCTTGCCCTCTTTGCTGTGTTTCGTCATTTTGCTGCATGCCCTCACTGCCCCTTTAACCTTTGTCTGTTTCTCCCTTCCGCTGTCCTTTTCACTTGGTCTCAGCCACTCCATGTGAGGGCATCGCATGCCCAGACGTCCTGAACCCTGGGAGGTTGTCCACAGTATGTGCTGGTCTGGCGCCCTTTGAAGAGCAAACCTGTAGATTGGAAGTGTCGGTAGCAAACACAGAGGCAGCGCAGCCTCCATGCTGTTCTGCACATCAGGCTGAGGCCAGGCACCGCACCATGCCTGGGTGGCCGCGGCAACCAACACATGACAGGCTACACCATGTTAGATCCTGTCCAAAAACACAGCCAGCTCTTCATTCATTTCCAGTGTTATTCAGAAGACCAACCGTCTGGTAGTATCTTACAGTTTCAGTTGCTGTGAAGAGGCACCATGACCACAGCAACTTTTATAAAGGAAACATTTAATTTGGGTGGCTCACTTGCAGTTTTAGAGGCTTAGTCCATTGTCATCATGGCAGCGTGCAGGCAGACATGATGCTGGAGAAGGAGCTGAGAGTTCCACATCTTGATCCACAGGCAGCAGGAAGTGAACTGAGTTCACACTTGACATTGCTTGAGCATAGGAGACCTCAAAGCCAGCCCCAAAGGTGACACACTTCCTCCAACAAGACCACACCTACTCCAGCAAGGCCACACCTCCTAATAGTGCTACTCCCTATGAGCTGATGGGGGCCAATTACATTCAAACTACCACAGATAGGAAAGTGTTGTAGGCAGCAAATAAAGTTGTTTTGTGAGGTGGTTCCTACACACTGGGTTCCTCTTTCTGTTAGTTTTGTGACACATGCTGTGAGCTTGTCATTTTCACCAGCGTTTGGTGGCAGGTGAGGTACCATGTATCTGTTTGTTGTGTAGTTTGAGACCAGGGCTGAAAATAAGAACTTCGTTGTAAAGCTGTTGACTGTTTTACATTGCAAGAAAAGTAATATTCATCTTTTATTGCAGACTGCCGCATCCCCCAGATAGAAGATGCTGAGATTCATAACAAGACATATAGACACGGAGAAAAGTTAATCATCACCTGTCATGAGGGATTCAAGATCCGGTACCCTGACCTATACAACATGGTTTCGTTATGTCGTGATGATGGGACATGGGATAACTTGCCCATCTGTCAAGGTATGAGATGGGAGCCGCTGTTGTCAACTGTACTTGTGGTGACTTCATTGCAAAATGTGCATGGTCTTGTCACACAGCAACAGACATTAGGTCAGAAAAATACAGTCACCCCACCTAGGTCCTCCCTGTCTTTCTGTGACTTCTCTTAGAGTTTCATCACTCCTTATGGTGACTCAGCTCCAGGTTTCCCAGTCTGGACAGGAGAGGCCTTTTTCCTTAGTATGTTGGGCAGCATACATACCCTTTCCATAGAAAACTATAAAAGTGGTTTAAGAATGGAGAGAACTGGGCTAGTGGAGGGACTAAGCAGGAGGCGCTCGCTTGCCAGCCTGAATTTGGTCTCTGGAATGTCCTAGTTGAAGGTAGGAAAGAACCAACCACCACAGGCACTCTGGCTTGCACATGTGTGCCCACACGCATACACACATACATGTGTGTCCAAGTGCATGCATACATACATGTGTGTGCCCCCCACAATAATAACAACAATAACAATAAATTTAAAAGAATTTGGAGGCTTCCTAACTGGCCTGTGAACATACAGATGAATTGTTGTCTACTTAATGGAAGTTGCAGGGTGTAATACTTCAGTGGTGGTGAGAATATAGTGAACCCATCGTACAGGGACTATTTTCTCTACATAATGTTATCCCTTTTAATAACGCATGAAAAACAGAAAGATAATTACATCCAAATACTTCCAAACCACACAGTAAACTTTTATCCTTTCTCATTTTTAAAACCTGCCCCAGCCACCATATACAGAGGGACCTGTTTTTGAAAATAAGCCCTTGAGTTCACATTAATTCTGATTTTATTTTTTGACATGTGACTTGGTCTAAAGGACCAAAAAGCCAATGCATAATTCATAGTCGGAGGGAGAAGGGAGGCATTCAGATGTGCCCTGGCATGTTCCAGTTGAGATGAATGCTAACTTTGTGCCTGGAAATCACACCTGGCATTGCTTTGTGCTCCCCATCGTCAGAAATAAATTGTTTCCCTACATGAGAGTCTCGGCCCCGAGAAGGAACAAAGGGTTCAGAGCTGGGAAGCCAGGGGAGCCCAGCCACTGTCACATCCCCTGCCCTGTGGCTTGGGTCACTAGCCTGCCCTAAAAGAGACGTGGGTTTTATTTATCTGTTCAGAGACTGTCTGTAAAACAAGCAGCTGGCGCCGGGGTTGGGCTGCCCATGCAAATAAGCATCATTAGCCACAGACTCAGTCCAGGGACAAATCCATTCCAGGGCTGGAGTCCCGGGTGAGGAAAATCACCTCTGACTCCAGCCACTCCCTGCAGCCCTGTTTTCTCCACACCCTTTCTCTGGGGCCTCTCGTCCTTTCTAGTTTCCCCTTTACTGCTTAAATGCACTGTGTTCCTTAGGAATTCTTCCCCATGGCCTTTTGGGGTATTATTTTAAAGAGTTCGGATACGTGCCTCTCTGTTGCTCTGTCTGGCCAATCTGGGTCCCTCTCCCTTTCTCAAATTCTGCTCAAGACGTGACTTTTCTAGGTCAGCAATAAGAGAACCAAATGCCTATTCCTTTTGTTTCCCTTTTTATTTGGTGGTGTTACTAGGATTTGAAGCTAGGGTTTCACACAGGCTAGGTCAGTGCCCTGCTTCTCTTTACTCCTAATTTTGACAGAATGGCCTCACTAAATTCCCCGAACAGAGTCCTACACTCACTCCGTAACCCAGAAAGGCCTTGAACCCGTGACCCTCTTGGGAGGCATCAGTCTCCCAAGTAGCTGGGATGATGGGCCTGCACCTGGTTACACTAGGATATGCCTCTTCAAACGCCACAGGCCCCGTCCTACACCATCACTGCTCAGAGCCCTCCATCCCACCGAGCAGGAGCCCTGGCTGTGCTGCGGCCCCAGCCCATCCTGTATGCTTTTGCTTCTGGAGACAGTCCTGCCAGCTGCCCCCGCACCAGCAGCCCTCTGGCCACCCAGCTGGCACAACACGGGAAGGAGGGTCCTAAGTAGCTGCAGACAGCCTGGCACCTCTCCGAGCCCCCTGGTGGACTGTAATTGGCTCTTAAGAGTGACATTTCACTCTAGAACCTTTATTTGCACCTATAGATCCAGGGGCTGAAACTCCAGTAGGCATCTCTCTATTACCAGAAGTGCAAATGGAAATCCCATCGAACTATTGAGTGGAAGCCTGTTTCCCGCTGTTATATTTAGGATGGGCTGTCTCCAACCAAGAGTGAGCATAGTGTATCTTTCCCTCTCAGTGCTGATTAGCAGTACAAATTAGAGCTCCTGCCTTCTCCTCAGGTGAAGTGAAGGGCGGGCTGCTCAGAAGCCTTTTGGGGGTAGGAGGCGGCTACTTTAGGTTTTGGAGAGTGATTTCAAGTCCTGCTCACTGTGGGGCAGAATCAGTTGTGATTTGGGGAAGACCAGCATCTCCCCACCAGCATCTTGTAGCTGGAACCCCGTCCCGGGAAGGAGTGCAGGGTCAGCACGTGTCAGCCACCTGAACCGTGTAAGCATCCCACGACTTCCTTTTGTTCCTGTTAATGGGTTTAGCTGCTGTTTCTCAACTGCTGATTCCATTTCTTCTTGGTTTTCACTCCTCTCTCCGACTCTCCACATTTTGCTGTAAACATTACCAGTTTTTAGCTCAGGACAAGTAAAAACCATCTAAGAGTTTCTAACACAGGTAAAGTACCTGCAAGCAGGACAGTAAGAGATAGGATCTCCAGGACCACAGAAACTGGGCTTGGCATGGTGGCAAGCGTCTATACCGCAGTGCTAGGGTACAGAGACAGGGCCATCGATCTCTAGGTCAGCCAGCCAAGCCGAGACAGTGATCCCCTGGTACAGTGAAGATTCTGTCTCAAAAGAAGCCAGGTGGTGGTGGCGCACGCCTTTAATCCTGGCACTCGAGGCAGAGGCAGGCGGATCTCTCTGAGTTCAAGGCCAGCCTGGCAGAGTGAGTTCCAGGACAGCTAAGGCCACACAGAGCAACCATATCTCAAAAAAAAATGAAAGAGAGATAAAGAGAGAGGGACGAAGGGAGGGATGGAGGCAGGAAGGGAGGGAGCAAGAGAAAAAACAATAGAAGACCCCTGACATCAGTCTTCAGCCCCCACGCAGACACACACACATACACACATGTGCACACATATACAGATGCATACATACTTATACTCATATACACACACATACACACACACATACACACATGTGCACACATATACAGATATATACGTACATACATATACTCATATACACACATACACACACTATACACACACACACACACACACACACTGAAGTAGCAGGAATTGAGAAAACCATGAGATGGAGTAAAAAGATGCTGATTTCTGTTCCTCTGAGGGGGTGTGGGGATGGTCTAGAAACACTCTGACTGGCTCTGGGTCAGGGCCTGTTCAGATTGTGGACCTGCATGGCCTCAGGCACAGCAGTGAGGTAGGTTCCACACAGTTGCAAGTGTGAGCGACTGTGTTTGTCCCTAAGTTATGCACCCTGGTGCCTCTCTTACCTTCCCTCACAACCTGCTGAGAGAGCCCCTCAAGCAGTGTCTAAGAAAACCAGCTCTGAAGGAGGGCTTGCTCATCGGCCGTTGGGCATGGAGTACAAGCCCTGGGCTTGGCAACTCAACAGGAAAGTGGGTGTTCTCATTATACGTCATTTGCTTCAAACACATGCTTGCCCCTGCAAGAATACCACCATAATGTCATCATTATGCACTCCAGTGACCTGACTAGATTCACTACCATCCTGTGGCAGCAGGAATGGTGCACACAGAATTCCGTGCCATTAGGAATGACACGGTCTTCAAGATACGAAAGCAGGCAGTGATTTACAAGTAGGAACCCAGGGTCCAGCTTCCCATTTGTCCTCTGACAGCACACGACTTGTTCTGTTTGGAGTACAGAGCCATCGTAAGTCTGTGTGTGTGTGCTTCCCATAGGGTCCTCCCTCCCATCTGGCCATTAGCAATCCTTGGACTCCACAGAGACCCACTGAGACAGACCTGGAGTCTGTCTATCAAGCCCTCTGGGGAATTCTCAAGCTTGGACACACTTTAAGACTCCTAACCTATTTCACTTAAAACTAGACATCCAGAAATATAGCAGTACCAGCCCAAGCAGGATTCTGGCCTGTGACTTGAGTTTGGAACAGAACCTGCCCAAGTCACAGACCCCTAGCCATCGTAATGTCTGTTTCCTCCTAGAGCACCTCAGTGGCCCTCATCCCCAATGTCACCGTAAATGACTTGGGGAGCTTCATAACCATGTTGTGACCCCCAGGCTCTCCTGGACACCAGGAGTTTGTAAAAGCCCCTCAAGGGATGCTGAGGTTCCATTCGGGACAGCTTCCCTGCCTGCATATGTGCTGATCCGTGTACCACCAGCCTCCCCCCTCTTCCCCGCTAACCCTGTATCTGACCCTGGTGGCACCATTTCAAATATACCAGCAAGCATCTGTCTCCACATAGCCCAAGGCTTCCGGCCAAGGGACAGTCCTAGAGAGTGCAAAGGCAGCCCGGGGGAGACCTTTCGTCTTTTCCTTTGGTGTTTCGCAGGCTGCCTGAGACCTCTGGCCTCTTCCAATGGCTATGTGAACATCTCGGAGTTCCAGACATCCTTCCCCGTGGGTGCTGTGATCGCCTATCGCTGCTTCCCTGGATTCAAACTCGAGGGTTCTGAGTATCTCGAATGCTTACACAACCTTATCTGGACGTCCAGCCCACCCCGGTGCCTTGCTCTGGAAGGTAACACATATTAGTTTTTTGGGAGTGGACGTGCAGGTGGGAGGCATCTCATTAAGGCCAGTAGTGACCTTTGCTTGCCTAGGTCCAGATCATCCACTGCCATGGAGCTATACTCCACATTAGACTCACCCACTCCCTCCCCGCCCATCTTAGATTTAAGGGGAAAAGGGGAAATAGAAGGAGTTGAAATAATCAGATGTCACACTGCAAAGTTAAGTGAAATGCCTTCAAAAATTCCCTTTCTCTGCACCAAATGGTAACAGATGGCATTGTGGCGCCATCTCAGGCTCACCCCTCATTTATTGCTGTGTCAATGTTTCTCTCATTTTCCCATGCCTTTATAGCTAAGCTGTAAGTGTCTGGCTGTAAGACGCTCTTGGAAGTCTGAAAGCAAGAGCCATCTCTACCCCGTTTTATGACTTCTGTACATGACATCTGTGTGGTTAGAGGGCTTTGTTGCTAAAGACCAGGAACCAGAGGTCTATCTTGGAGGGGTGTGGGGAGGCTGGCCTTCCATTTCCAGAATCAGGGCAGTGTCCTGGGCTTCCTAAAACCCTCTGCCATTGAAGTCTAGCATCCAGCTTCAGCCCTGGTTTCTCTCTGGTCTTGAAGTTTCAACTGATGTGTTTCGATCTGTAGACCAGACTGGCCTCGAACTCACAGAGACCCACCTGTCTCTGCCTCCTGAGTGCTGGGATTAAAGGTGTGCGCCACCAATGCCCGACTTCAACTGATGTGTTTCTTGACATCTTGAATAGATGGGTGGGGGAGGAGTTCTATGAGAAAATGGCGGCAGGGAGCCGGAGAACGGGGAGGCAAGGGGGACTTCCATTCCAGAGCCCCTTCCAAACCTGTCCAAAACAATAGCATGTCAAAGCAGACCAGTGCTCCCAAGTTTACAGCGGCATAGCTTCCTGTTTCCTTGCCGCAACCATCAGGAGGAGTAGGCTTGGGAGTTTGCTGTGGGGAGTGGAGGTTGGCCCAAAGGGAGTAGAGCGATGAGAGAATACTTTATTTCTAAAGAGAAGGGGTGGCCAGAACCATGGAGCCTCCCCAGAGAAGAGTTGTGGAACAGGTGGGAAGGAGGGATGGCCATGCCATGCCATTCATCCTGTGACAGTCCTAGGCTATCCCTTAAAATCCCCACACATCTCTATCTCCCATGTGCCCCAAAGTTCACAGGGGCAGGGGCCAGGGTAGAGGTGTTAGCATTGAGACACACTGGTATACTTGAATTGCTTGTAACAGATAGGTTTTCAATGGGAGCATTCAGTAAGAAAGTGTGTGTGTGTGTGTGTGTGTGTGTGTGTGTGTGTGTGTGTGTGTTTACTCTGAAATTCAAATACAATTGACTCTTTTCTACCTCTGTTTGTTAAAGCTGGCCAGCCCAGTCTCCAGAGGCAAGGTCACCCCTATTTCCAGTGTAGTTACCTCTCCATTGTCCACATACTGCCTGTGGGCCATGGTGAGTGTGAGCTCTCACAAAAGGGCCCACTTTCATAGTTCCTGGAGGATTTTCCCTAGTCACAAAACCAGAAATCAAGGGTAGTTTGAAGATACCATTGTTATGTTTTTATCAATTTGAAATGCCTGTTTTAGGATCTTTTCAAATTTGCCTTAACTGCGTTTCAAGTAGTCAGATTCTGTAAGCTTCATCTGGGGACTTGGAAAGCAGCTTTTTATGGAGCCTAGAGAATATGGTATGGCTAGACATAAAACAAAATCTAACTTCTGGAAGCAATGCTCTGAGGTTATAAACGGGGAGCTGTCAGTGGCGGTGGCTGAAAACAGGCCCATTGCTGAGCACATGCTGTTTCTGTTGCCAGCCTCAACTCTGGCCAAGGAAGGATCTGGAAACCCTTCGGGTGGCTGCCTGTGCCAAAAAGGCCACTCAGAGCCTCCCCCCCCCCCCCCGCACCCTTTAAGTACTTTGGCATCTTTGCTTTTAATGCCCATCTCTCCAAAATATCCAAGGAAATCGCTTATGAGCCCTTTCAAAGCAGCAGAGGAGGCCAAACGTACAAAGGCTACACCACAGGCAGAGTAAGTCAAGGGTTACTCCATACTCGGGACCGCACTGAAACTCAGGCAAGCAGCGATCAGACACAGCGGTACACACCTGTAATCCCAGCTACTCAGCAGGCTGAGACAGGAGGATTGAGACTGCACAACACAACAAAATCCTATCTATTAAAAAAATCAAACAGTAAAAATGAAAGCACTGGGTCTGAATAAAATAGAAAGCTTCATGGGAAAGTCATCCAGGAAGTGACAGTGTTTTAATTCTTCCTTTTCATTTTTAAGCATCGCTGCATTGCTTATTTTTCATTGCAGCGTAGATCAGCACTCCCTGGCAACCCACCCCTCACAGGAAAGGTCACCCACCTTTCCCCTTCTCCCTGTCGTGTGAAGCACATGTTTCACATAATTTGATTTTTCCTCGTGGTATAGTAAAAGCTACCTAGCTGCGCTATGTATCGTGTGCTGTGGTGGAGGCCTTTTAAATCCGTTAGTGTCCTGATGCCAGCAGTGAGCGGGTGTGGACAAGCGGAACTGTGAAAAGCTTTCCCCAACCTCCTCACCTCTCACTTAAACCCAGCCTCCCACCATCAGAGGACCTGTCACTCATGCATGGCACTTCAGCTGCCCCGAACTCAGCCTGCACAGTTGCTTGTGCAGCATGCCTAGTATCTGGGGTTGGATCCGCAATACCACATAAAGCAGGTGTGGTGTCACACCTGTATCCCATCACTCAGGAGGTCCAAACAAGAGACTTGAGAGTTCAAGGCCACCCTGTGCTATACAGTGAGTCAAGGCCAACCTTGGCTACATAAAACTACATCTCGTTGGTGGCGCCCACCTTTAATCCCAGCACTCAGGAGGCAGAGGCAGGTGGATCTCTGTGAGTTCAAGCTCAGCCTGGTCTACAGAGTGAGTTCCAGTACAGGCTCCAAAGCTACAGAAAAACCCTGACTTGAAAAACAAAATACAAACAAACAAAACAAAACAAAAACGCTGCATCTCAAAAATAATAAAATGGGATTGAAGAGTTGGCTCAGTGGCTGAGATCACACACTGCTCTTAAGAGGACCTGAGTTTGGTTCCCACACTTATGTCGGGTAGCTCACAACCGCCCGTTACTCCAGCTACAGGGGAATCCTTTGCCTCCAGTCTCCGCCTACCTGCTCTCATGTGTGTGGTGTGGGGGGGGGCACACACACAGTGGATTTAAAATAATGAAAATCTGAATAGAATAGACTAGGAAGTGGTATTGATCATACTTCATGGAACTATAAGGCTTCAGCATGATAACAAATTCAATTTCTCTCTTCTTTGTTTTTTGTTTTGTTTTGTTTTTGTGTGAGATAGGGTCTCTCTGTGTAATAGCCAGATTTAATATTTTTAAGGAAGTACACCTAGTATTAGTCTGCCATAACTCTTAGATTTAGGTATAAAGTCACCCTAAATAAATTACGACAATGAATAAAGTGTCCAGGATTTAAGGCTCATGTGTCGTGACACTATTGGATTGTTCAGTTGCTCTCCAGTGTCTGCGTGTTCTCAGCTGTGTTTGGAAATACCTCCCGTTAACAATGGCCAGTTAACTCTGAGAGCTGGCGAGCTACGTGCCAGACTCTCACCACTGTGTCCTTTGGTCCCTGTGACGTGCCTTTTCTGCTCTACGCCCCATCTGATGATGAGCAAACACAGGCTGCTAAAAGCTCAGGCAGGTCGAGTACATGCCGGGGCTGGGCCTCAAGCCTGGGCCTCTGTCATTTGAAGCCAGGGGTCTTGTCTAATTAATCGGTTCAGATTGCCTTACAGTCTAACAGAAAGATGATTCTGATACTTTTACGGTCATTTTTGAAGTTGAGAAATCAAAACAATTGCTGCATGGGAAGGAATTTGTCTTTCTAGCCTAGTTGCCCCCTAGAGATATGCTGGAAGGAGGCTGTTGGCATTTACTGCTGTCTCCCAGCAGAACCAGGTATCCTTGGCTACAGAGGAGCCCTGTTTCAGTAAGGGAGCTAGGCAGAGATCGTTGGTCCCTTTCTGACTGAGGCAGTGACACCTTGGTGGATGGCAGGATTTGTGCAGACCCTCATGCGTGACCCCTTCTACACACGGCCCCGCTTCCCTCGTGGGGTGAAGACAGCATCTGAGTGACCCCATCGTCAAGGTCAGGCTTCATGAGGAGGTGATCATGAGGAAGGAAAAGCCATGGTGGCTCCGTCAAGGGTTGCGTGGACCATTCTGAAGGTTGTGCATTTGAAACCCTGCACTGGTAAACTCCTCTGACTGACAGGGGACACATTCTGGAAGACACCTGTGTTCCCGGGTTCCTATCATGTGATTTGGCCTCTGTGAACACAAAGCCGTAAACACTGCTGTAGCAGATGACTATGTTGATCTATTTGGGCGAGGAAGGTTCCTTGCGGGTCCTCATACGTTGGCATCTTTTGTAGGTCTGTGTGTGTTTGTCCTCGTGTGGCTGCATCTTAATTCTTTCCCTTCTCAGGCCCTTTGATGTCTGTCACTGTCACCTCGGTCTGTCTGTTTCCCATACATACTTATGCTGAATCCAAATCTTAAGTTTGCAAAACATCTTCGTTAGTGAGCATGAGCAGTCTCCCACTTCCGGGTGCCGAGAACTCTGCTACCTCTTTCCTGAACTCTCCGAGGCCCAGAGTAGCACTGACCCAGGCCCTGGGGAACTGCATGGAAAGGGAAGGATGTAATTCGGTTGTTTGCAGAGTTGGCAGTCTAGTGGGAGAACAAGGCAGACGTCACCATCTAGACACCCACGTTGTTGCTATAGTCTGCGCATCCGCACACACAGCTGCTTTACCAAAGGGCGCATCAGAGCTGCTCTGGGGAAGAGTGGGAGGGTAGGGGCAGGGGGAGGTACCACTGAAAAGTGAAATGTCTACCAGAGACGCCTGGCTCGTTATTTCTCAGACTCTGAGCAGGAAGCTGCACAGAGCTCCCCAGACTGTGTG